CTAGCAGAGAAAAGGAGAACATACTACTCTTATCTTTGCCGTATTTTTTGCTTGTTCATTGCTTGTATTCGTGTTGGTTGTAGGGCTCTGAAACCCGAGGACCAGACCCAGGAGTTAACCCGCCAACCCTCACAACTGCGTCAGGTCTCTTTGAGAGAGTGAGGGCTGGTTTGTGTCCGTGACCCTGTAAGTGTTAGTGTTTGCCCCATGGGTGAGAATAATTTAGTTGTAGATTACCTTGATGGAACTCTTCCTTCTCTTTACTTAAAAATAGCTCAATAGAGAAACCTGTTAAAAATTTTTAGGGATGCTGAAATGTGTTACCCAGTGTTTTATGTAAACATGGAGATCTTGGAGAAGAGGCTAAAATGAGTTGAATCATGGCCCCTACTTATAAAACTTCTACTTGGAAAAAGCTATAGGAAGATTTTTTTTTAAAGCTAGCTTTATTGGTCCATAAACTTTTTTGGTATTTCTGTATAGATTTAAAAAGTTGCATTAACTCAAAAAATATTGGCCTTTCTAAGATGCTAAGTCAGTCAGGTCCTGTTGAAGGGCTTTTCCTCTGTGGCAAGTCACACCCTCAACTTGTAGCAGTCACCCCTGGCCCTCATCTACTTCCCAGCGTATGTCGTGGGTCCTTCCCACAGAGATCCTCCAGTCTGGAAATGCCAAGCCTCGTGGGATTCCTAGATCCACCGTGTTTCACACTTGTCCTCACCCAGTTCACAGTCTCTGCCCACCTGTGCAGAGGGTGCCAGCAGGAGGCACTGTTCGTCTCAAGACAGACCCTTGGCCTCCAAGACCAAGTCGCTTCTCATGGGATGCTTACAGCCTTTCCCTGCTGTGCTCTGCAGGTGTTGATCTGATTCTACTGTGGCTGTCTCTGCTCTTCTTCAACCTCTCCTTATCAGCTCTGAGCATCTGAAGGATGGTGTGGATTCATTTTCCATTGTCACTCAGCAACAACCCAGTCCCTGCAGAGTATTCCCCGAAAAGGTTGCTACAACACTTGCCCACTTTCCTTAGAGAACCGAACCAGACTTAGCATGGAGAGTGGAGATGCATCATCTGTCTATAACAATACAGCAGTAGCCTCAGTGTTTATTTTTGCCTTTTCAGTCTTTTTTCTCTGCATTTCTACTTAGCTGTGAGCACAGTGTGTATCTTCTATATCATATGCATTATATAGTGTATTCTCTTGGCTGCCGCCGCCATCTTTAAGGGTTCTTTAAAATTTCACTGAGTGGCTATAAGACACTGTGCTCATGCATTTCTCTACCTTTGGATATTTAAGTTTCTTTCCCTAATTTTTAACACGTTGATCGCCCACTGTGGATCTGGTGCCCCTGAGAAAACACAACTATCACCCAGATTTGGGTGATGTGGTGATGAACTTTTAATCCACATGGCTGTAATAATGCTAAACTGGATACATTAACAAATTAAGAATGCCAGAGTCAAGATATGAAGTGAGAAGGGCACTCTGGAATTTGAGGACACTGTTACCAGGCTGCATAGGAGATGCCGCATAGTCCAGGCTCACAGAGGGACTCAGAACGGTGTAGGAGCCCGTAGTCAGACACAGGAGCTCTGGTTGTGTCTATAAATGTTCCTCCTTCCCATTCTTGACCAACCAAGAAACAGTCGGGGAGGGCAGAGAAAGGAGCAAGAATTTGGATACGGAAGGTCTTGCTACCAACCGTCCGTTGTGCAGCTTTGAACCTTAACTGCTCTGAACATGTTTTCCTCTGTTCAGAGGATGTCCATGGCATGTGATTCTTATAAGAACAAAATAAAACCCAACAGGGGGATATAAAACATATTTGTAGGATCTTTATGGTGGGCCAGGTGCTGAAAAAAAAATTTGTGCTATTTCATCAAATCTTTAGAGAAACTCTGTGAAATAAGCTGAAAGAGTAACTCGTTCCAAGTCACACAAGTCAGTGCCGAGATCCAAACCCGATTCTTCATCCTCCACAGACGTTTGTCCTGAGGCTTCCTGGAGAGACACTGTCTCAACAGATAAATCTGTGCCCTGATACAAAACAGAAGGGCCAATTCCATGGACTCCATATGAGGGATGGTTTAGAGAAGAAAAGCATTTAGAAAAATATGAGCATTTTGAAATATTTAGACTATTTTTTATTATTGACCAATATTGCATCAAACTGTTTAAATCTCTGATAAAGAAACTGTGAATCCAGCTGAATTCAAGATATGACGTTGGCTTGAGACAGGCAAAAATAACTGTTCTATAGATGGAGAATTAACCAGGATCCCCTGAGAAGAGGAATGGGAAGGGCATTAGACCTTTGTAAAGAATTGGTCTTGATTACACCCCCGGAGGCTATGGCGTTTCTATGGAGATGGAATGTTAACAGAGCTAGAAGGAAGAGGCAGAGGCCATTGCTGCTTCGGACAATGTCAGGATGAACCAGAATGAGGTACAACCCGGGGCTGAGAGACTAGCTAGGACAGGTGTGCAAGCATTTAACTAAATAGGAAAGAAAGCTATTGTATTACAGAGGTAGAATTGACAAGATTCATCCATTTCGTGATATTTTTCTTCTAAAATACGAGTCAGATTGTGTCACTACTGTGTAGGATTGAGAGCATTTGTTTTTGTTTTGGAATCTGGAGTCTTACTGGGTTTGAGGCGCTAGCCACGTGACTTTGGACAGAGCTACATAAGCTTCCCAAGCTTCTTTTGATTCATCTGAAAAAAATGGGGAGAGTAACAGTCGCGCTCATGGCGTAGATTGGTTGGGAGGATTAAATGAAATAATGCACGTCAGCAACTTAACCCAGAGAAGGTGTAAGAGTGCAGAGTAAGTGCGCAGTGTCTGCTCTTATTACCACGTCACGCTCTGCTTAAACGTACCCTGTCGATCTTCACTGCCTGTTGGATAATGTCCCACACGTTTGTAGTCCGCTGCGGTCTGGCTCCCTTCCATTCCGTAATCTCTGTGCCAGAGGTTCTCGTGTCTTCAAGAACCCGGCAGGTAAAAAGCGAGCGAGGTGAGGCTGCGGCCAACTGGGAACCACATGCTCCATCTGAAGGGGGCACCTGCCGCTCCCTCTCCGAGCTCTTTGCTTTGTGGGAAGGTGAGCCCAGTGTGGTTACCTTTGAAGAGACATTGGAAACCTGGGCTTCACATAGAACTTTCCAGTTGTTACATGTGAACAACTAAATCAGAATTTTTAACCAACACTCCAAGACCAAGCAAAGCCCACCTGCCGGCTGGATACTGGGGCTGGCTTGCACCCTCGGCTGTTCACGCCCCTCCCCGGCCTTGCAGACTGCTTGCTTCCCCTTGGAGAGAGTTTGTCCCTTTGTGCCTTAGTGCTTTGAGACATGCTAGTCCCTCTGTCTGGACTGGCCTTAGTTCTTTCTCTGTTGATCTGAATTGTTCTTTTAGACTTGGCTCAGCGGATTTTCTCTTAACGCATTATTTCCTTTTTTGTGATTCCAGAGAATTTTAGAGATCATTCTCTTCTTGAATATGTAAGATACTCATTACTTCTTTATTTAAAAATAATTACTAAGCACCAAAATGCATACCAGCTACAGCTGTAAAATGGAGCCCCTGCTCCCTCTCCCTTGGTGCCTGTTTTGTGGCGTGATGTCCGTGTGTCGGTCCTTCCACGAGAAGGTGAGTCCTTAAGGGCAGGGACCTCATGCTGTTTGTGCAGTTTCCTCAGCAGTTAGCCCGGTGAGCCTGATACTCAGTGTGTGAGTGTCCTCTTGCTGCTGTAATAAATTTCCACAAACCTAGTGTCATAAAACCGTACCAGCTTGTGATCTTACAGTCGTGGTTGTCAGAAGCCTGAAATGGGTCTCGCTGGACTAAAATCAAGGTGTCAGCAGGACTGCATTTGTTCTGGAGGCTCCAGGGGAGAATCTGTTCTTGCCTTTCTCATTTCTAATGACTACCTGCATTTCTTGGCTCATGACCCCTTTCTCCATCTTCAGAGGAAGAAGTGTAGCCTCTTCAACACTCTCTCAGTATGACTTCCTTTTTTATCCCCCTCTTCGACTTACGAGGACGCAGGCCCGTCTGAGTACTCCGGGATACTGTCCTAATCTCAAGGTCAGCTGACTAGCAGCCATAACATCATTTGCAACCTTAATTCCCCCTTGCCATGTAATGTAACGTATTCACAGGTTCTGGGGCTTCGGACATGGGCGTCTTTGGGAGCAGTGTCGTTCTGCCTCCCACAACTGGGAAGCTGAATGAATGAATGAATGAATGGTGAATGATGAGTGAAACTCACAGAGGGTGGGAACCAGTGTTGTGCTAGCCATGAAAAGACAGAAAGAGTAATGATGTCTCTGCCCTGAAGGAGTTGATGATCACCTGAATTGGGGTGGTGGTGAATGGGGGGGGGGGTCTTCCAAACCTTCCTTCTCAGATTACACATCTCTGAGTTTTGTAAACTTTCCTGACATCCCAGATTAAGATTAGACCCCTGGTTTTGTGCTCCAGAGGCACCCTCCTTAAGAATACTTCGTCACCCTTGTGATTACAGTTCAGTAAATGCCTTCCACTAGATCTTACAGGTAATGAGTGTGATAAAGCATACGTCTGATTTCTCGTGTGTAGCATTGAGCAGAGTGCCTGGTGAGTGTTCAAAAATTTGAGAGAATGGATGAATGAATGAAGAACTAGAGAAAAATTGAGTGTTTAATCCACCTGCTTCTTGTTCTCCATTGGAACTTTGTAACCTGAGATCATGGACTTTCCGACATGGCATGCAAAATTGGGAGGGAAAGCACATGTATTTTTTTAATCACTGGGGAGCAAAGAGCATTTATCAGATCCTTGGTGGAATCCATGACCAACATGAGGTTAAAAAGCACCTCTCTGTGTGTGCAGAGTCCAGAGATGATACAATTTGGCCATGGTACAGAGAAGGAGGATGCTGTCCTGGGAAAGACAGATTGAATTCTCTTCCCTACAGCTAATGGGACTTTATCTATCTTTTTTCCTCTCTAGGAGAAGAGAGTGTGCTGCCTCTCCTGACACAGGACTCTAATTCCAAAGCTCGGAGGGGTATTTTAAGAAGAGCAGTCTTTTCTGAGGACCAGAGAAAGGCTCTGGAAAAAATGTTTCAGAAGCAGAAATACATCAGCAAAACAGACCGAAAGAAACTTGCCATCAGCTTGGGTCTAAAGGAATCACAGGTACTAAGGAGCGGGAAGATGTCCACTGCTCCTATTTTAAAGGAATCCAATGAAATCCATTCATTTGGCAAAGATTTGTTGGACTAGGCATGGTACTGGACCCTGAAGCATTACTGAAATGATTTTCATAATTTTTTTAGGGGGTGGAAATATATGTCATAGTTCCTATTTGGGAACATCCTTTTGCTGAGCGGTCTAGGTTTTTGCCTGATTAATTCTTCCCACATGAAGAGAAAAGAGAAGACTGTGGCTTTTACATCATTACATTGTTTGCTCTGTTTTCAGAGCAACAGGCTACATAATTGGCCTGCAAAAGCAGGAACCAATTTTCCTGTCTTTTTCTTCACAAATACCTCTCACAAATACCTCTTAATAGATTTCCTTATTTTGCATTGTGGGCTTATGTCAAACAGAGTTAAGTAATTTCACATTTGCAACTCTCGCAAACCTTCCTTGTACAGTGATGTTTCATATAATTTTGAAAGAGACTTTTTGGCCTTTTGGGAAGTGCAGCATACTCCATTTAAAGACTGGCCTATTTGTTATAAATAATTAACAGTACAAGGCACTGGCATTTTCCTATGTAATCCTTCTTATAATCACCATGTGAAATAAACACTATAATCATCCCCATTTTCTAGATGAGGAAATGGAGAGAAGTAAACAGAGATCCAGTGTCACAGAGTGAAGTTGCTTTGGAGCTGGGCTCCCACCCCAGGCAACCTGACTCTGGAGCTGGCGTTCTCCTGTTAAGCAACCTAGAGCCACCCTGTACAGTTGTGCAGGATGTTCACTGCACAAGGCCATTTGGCTAAGGGGTATGGCAGCAGTGGAAGTGCAGCAGGTACTCTGCTTGTCAAACTGGCTTTCCCGGTGCAGGACTACAAACACCTGGATTTTTTTGAATCAGCGTGAAGGCACTGAAGGGCTAGCCGAGGCTGTGTTTACCTGCCACGCTCTACTGTATTTCCCTCAATACAAATGACCTGGTTTCTAACTTTGGATGTTATTAAACCAGTTATTTTTGGATGAAACCCTTCTTAACCTTGCTTCCTTTCCCTGGGGAAGTGACCTGTCCCCCTGCCCCCCAACTTTTTATAGTCGTAGGAAGCAGTATGAGGTGTGGTGGAGGGTAATTGGCCTAGATCAGCCCGCCTGTCCTCTCCTCGTGCGTGGTACGAACCGGCCCATAACCTTAACTGACTGCTGTGGGCCTCAGTTTCTCACCTAAAAACAGAGACAAATATAGGAATTCTGTCTATGTCACAGAGCAATTTTTTGTGTACGACAGATAAACCAGTAGCTGTATCTTCATGCCAGACACTGTGCTAGGTAGGCAGGAAGGGGTGATATTGATAAGTACTGAGGATCCCTCCTTGGACCCCAGGAATTGATACAGCCGACTGGGAAAACAAAGCCGAAGCTCATGAGCAGTTAGATAACAATGGAAGACAGTGATGCAGGAGGCAGCCGCAGGTGGGTTAGGTGTGTTACCAAATAAGGAAGCTAGATCGGTGCTTCTCCTGGAACTTCGTGTCTCTCTGCAGCCGCGTGCTAATGCCCACCTCTGGAAAGGACAGCCATCAGGCTGGTCTTATACCCCTGGGAATCGGGTGATGGACTTTAAAAATATTTCTGTAAGATGGGGAACTAGGAGTGAGATTTATATGTTAAATTTTAGGTGTGTTTTAAATTGTGATAGCTTCCAAATATAATATTGTATCAAGATCCTAAATTATATCAAATTTTCACCCTTTGCTAATAAACAATCCCTTTTTTGCAAACCCTCCACTATTTAAATTTTCGAAAATGCTGCCAACCTCATCGGCAATGGTATTTGTTATTTTTTAATTTGAGTTTTCCTAATTATCAGAACTTGAGAATCTTTTAATCACTTTCTTGGTCATTTTTAATCTGTGAATTGGCCTTTTCATGACTGCACCATTTTTTTCTGTCGTATTGTCTTTTTGTTGATATGCAGCAATTGTTTTGGCTGTCACTCAAAGTATTTGGAAGATTACGGTTAGTAACATTTTCCTGTTAACAGCTTTTGCAAACATCCTCTCCAAATTTGTGGCTTTTTAAAATTGTGGTAAAATTTACATAACATAAAATGTATCATTTTAACCTTTTTGAAGTTTACAATTCAGTGGCATTAAGTGCATTCACATTGCTGTGCAACCATCCACATCTAGAACTTTTTTCATCTTGTAAAACTGAAACTCTGTACCCCTTAACCAGTGACTCCCCATTCTTCCTTACCGCAGACTCTTAGCAACCACCATCCTACTTCCTTTCTCTGTGAATTAGACTGCTTTAGGGAGCCATATGAGTGGAATCACACTGTATGTGTCCTCTTTTGACTGGTGTATTTCACAAGGCATAATGTCTTCAAGTTTCATCCATGTTGTAGCAGAATCGCCTTCCTTTTTAAGGCTGAATAATATTCAGTTGGATGTATAGACCACATTTTGTTTATGCATTCATCCATCAGTGGACACTTGGGTTGCTTCCACCTTTTGGCTAATATGAATAATACTGCTATGAACATTGTGTGCGAAATATCTCTTTGACCCCCTGCTTTTAATTCTTTGGGGTAGTTCATGGCTTTTTCATATGTTTATGCTGTCTTTATTTGTACAGAAATTTCTCATTCTTATGCAGTCAGATCTGTCTTTCCCTTTGTAGCCTTATTGTTTCATGTCATGTTCCCCGGATTTTAATGATAATCTCTTATAGTTTCTTCTAGAACTTTGATATTTATGTTTAATCCATCTGGAATTTGTTTTCCTGTTTTTTGAGAGGTAGAACTTTTATTTTATGATTCTCCCCAAATATGTACACTTGTCCCAGTACTGCTGATTATGAAGAAACTCCTTTCATGACTTTTTTTTTCTAATTGAGATGTCACTCCAAACAATTTCTAGACATGCAGAAAAGCTAAAAGGAGAAGAAAATAATTCATATGATGAAGATGAGAAAGACAAGAATCACTAATGGGAACAAACAACTGTCTTAGTGAAAACCCATTAGAAATACTTGGCAGGCTTGCTAGGAGTAAATGCCTCGTGCAAATCATAAGTGAGTTTATGAACAGAACCAGATGCTCTGGTATGTACACACTGGTACTGTTTTCTTATGAAAAGCCTCCATCACAGGACTGTAACTGAGATGGCAGTCTTTCGAGCTCAATTGCCTGGGGTAGGTTTCTTTCGTAGCCATTTTGAACATGGCCAATCAAGCTGAAGGAATGGAATTTTTGCCAATCTAGAAAGACCATCTCAGGTAGAATTTTTTTCCTTCATTGGGAGGAATATTTGGTTGGTACACTTCAATAATTATTTCTGTAGGTAAAAAATGTCCAGTTTTTATTTTAAAACTAGAAATCTATTTGGAAGGATGCAATGTAATTCACAGGAGAGTGATGTGATTGGCTTTTATGCTGTCAGGAAACCAAATGTGAAGTGTTCTGCTCAGGCACAGCGGACTACACAGTAGATGATGAAGGAGGTTCATAGTAAAGAGAGACGTGGGGAAAAGGTATGGCTCAGATTGGAAACCACCATCATGAGCGCTTTTAGGTTAATTACAATCGTTACTTAGTGAGTCTAATTCTTCGAGTTTGATAAATCCTGGAAGTAATCAAACTTGGAAATTGCATAAAGCCTGCAATTTAGCAAAGCGCTATAAAACGTATTCTTAATTTAGTCTCCAAAAGTTCCTGATGAGATCTGAATGTTGATAAGAGCCTGGGCACTGGAGGGGGACAGTCATGGATTCTAGTCTAAGTACTTGCGTTTTACTAGCTGTGTGACCTTGAACTGGTTCGTCGCTTTGAACCCCAGTTTTCTTATGTATGAAATAAGGATTTCTTGCATTCATTGTGAGGATCAAATTATATAATCCATGTTGAGTGCCTGGCCTGACACCTGGCACAAAATAAGCACTCAGATGCTATTACTAGTCAGTAACATTTCCTTGAATAAATAATTTAGCACAGACTAGATCAGGTTTTAAAATATCGAAGAGAGTTAAATCAGTCTTGAAAGATGTCTGGCTTACAGGATGTAATCAGCTTACCACAGTTGTTTTGTTTCAAAAGTGTGTGTGGAGATATTATGCTAAAGTAATTTCTCAGGTATTTCTGGAGGTGCCCAGGTGAAAAACTGCAGGGACCTCGCTAGGCTGGCTCTCATGATAAGGTATTCTGTGGAAGGCCCGGTCGGAGAAACTACAGTTTAAAATGCTGACGTGAAGTAACCTGGCATAAGTGATCATTTTATCCCATTACTTTATCAATAGGTGAAAATCTGGTTTCAGAACAGGAGGATGAAATGGCGGAACTCCAAAGAAAAAGAGGTGCTTTCCAGCAGGTGTATCCAAGAAGGGGGCCTTCAAGAGGATCCCCTGTCACGATCCGCTCTGGTGTTCCCTTCCCCGTGCCCTTCGCTCTGGGAAGTCTCCCAGCAGCACTCAAGTCCAGGATGGAGGGAGAATTCCCCAGAGCCTTCGGAGAGACTAACCCAGGAGAGTCCAGGGGCGCTGCCCCCAGAAGCAACTTCCCTGCAAGGTGCCTTGTGTTTGTGTTCCGAAGAGGAAGCCGGAGACAAGGGCGTACTCACTGGCGCGGTGTGAATGGCAGCGCTCTGCCCCGTTAACTTAAAGGAACGCTGAACTAATAATGTCTGGACTCTGAGCCCGCTAGCTCGCGTCTCATCAGTGCCTAAAACCTAACGCCTGTGGACTGAACCGTGCACTAATGTTTTAGGAAACCCTCTCCTAGACTCAGACTTAATTTGTAAGTTGAACAGAATCTCCCAGGAAGTACAACGAACCGAAAAGAATGAGAATGATAGTTGGTTCAGTCCCCGCTCTGAGTATGTGTGTATATGCGTGTGTCTCTATGTGTGTGTGTATATATATAAATATTCATTAAAATACATTAGCGGAAACTAGTTCCTCTTTAAATAGTGCATTGAGCAGATTCACTTCCTTTTATGTGAAGAAGGACCAACTGTGGGTTTTTTTGAAAAGGATACAAAATTTGGACTTGAGTTCAGATTTTTCATATCAAAAGAACATGTTTTTAAAAATGCTCTATTTTCTGGTTTCTTTTGGTATCCCCAGCTGTAAATGATTTTTAACAACTCAGCTCAGCAGTCCTAATCAAATGAGCCACTGTTAGATATCTACACTGAAAGTATATATTCAAAATTAACCCAACAAGCACACTAGAAGAATTTCTGAATGTAACTGTTAGTATCTCTGATTTCCAAGGCTCTGGACTTTATCAGGCCGTCAGTGAGGAAAGTGTCTATTTAACTAATGATTATCTTTTGATCTCTTCTCGGTAAGGATGGGCTGTAGTCAGGGTTTGCAAAATAAAATGCCTTTAAGGGCCCGTCAGGTAAATAGAGGTCATGGCCCACCTAAAGATATTCGAGTTTAATAATCTTTCAAATCCCGTGTTGGCTGAACCCAACATCTGTGTCAAGTAATTTGTGACCTCTGGCCAAGACTTAAAGAAGGGTCACAGCTCTTAAAATGTTCCCAACTGGACTTCAAAACCCAATACTGATGGAATCTATCATGATTTCTGTTTACACCTCTAGTTATAGACTCAGTTTTCCACTTAGGTGGTGTATACTATATATTAGGTTATTTTTATAAATTAACAAACACCATACAGATGTTTTATGCCTTGTGAATGCTCTGAAATAGTAGTATTATAAAATTGCATTTCTGGTAACGATTTGCTTAGTTAACCTAGAAATTTCTATTCCAGGTCCAAGAAGAAATTATTTTTCACTCTGAAGGAAATGAGGCAGAAAAGGGAAATGATGTGGTTTTGAACGAGGGTTATTATTAATCTGTGGACAAGCAACATGATTAGAAGTTCATGATGTGGAATTTTGTTAGTAAGAAAGCTGCGTAAAGAGAGTGGCTTCTAATTTGCTGACATTCTTAGCTATAGAGGGTTTAGGGTGTTTTAGAAAAGATAATATTTTGGAAGATAATGGTTTTTGTCAACAGCAGGAAGTTATTTTGTGTGAATGGAACTTGAATTGGTGTACGCCAGTCTGTGTCTTTATCACAAGGTCTTACTTCAAAATCATCTCAGAAGCAACTTGTCTTGGTGCCTCTTTGCAGGAAGTAGAGGCAGGGATCTGCTGACAACAATTTAAATTTTAAAACCTGTCTTCAAATGATTGATGGTACCGTTTCTTTTCTTTGTATAGTGTTAACCTCATTTACGTTTATTGGGTTCTTCCTAGGTCCTAGGGACCGTGCTGAGCCCTTAGGGTGGATTAGCTCGTTTAATCCTCCTGACAGTAACCCTATGATGTAGGGACTGTGACTATTAGGATTCTTGTTGCCCAGACAGGGGCCCCGGGGCAGAATGATGAGGGTGATTGCCCAAGGTCGTGAGGTTAATCAGTGGCATTTGGTTCCTGGCAGTCAGGTTTCAGATCTTGAAATCTAAGCAACCACGTGCAGGTGTACACCCCACTGAAGTCCGTTCACTGTGGGATGCATTGTAAGACATCCATTTTGGCTATTGCCGCGAAATTTATTAAAGAAATTCAGAAGCACCGTGTACTTCACAGTCTCTTACTTGGGGAATGGTTTTCTCTCTAGTATTCTTTTCTCCATTAATTTTGGTTTAGGGAAAGTAAAGAATCACAACAGCCTTCAACTGTGAAGCCTCTGTAGTGAATAGTCCCATAGGAATGTTTTAAGTGTGAAGTGGAATTTTTTTTTTTTATCACTCATCGCTGGAAATCATACAGTGCTTATCTATGGTCAATGTTTCTTGAGAATAACTTGAAAATCAAATGAGAGAAACCTGCGTCTTGGCCATCTGATTGCTCAGGCTTTAGAAGTGAGCTAATTGGTGCTTAAATGATCTAACCCCCACCCCCACCCCGGGTTTCACCTGGAGCTCTGAGCCAGCAGAGACTCCTCTCTGTGTGATTGGCTTGATGTGCATATATGCAGATAAATGTTTTCATTGGTTTCCACTTTGGTGTTGAGGCTGAGGAAAAGTACATCTCGGATGAATGTATTAGGGGCATTTAGGAAGCGCGCGCGCACACACATACACACACGCGGTGCACGTGAATGTGCCTGTTGTGCAGTTACTCTGTCTCCATTTACCTGAACTGCTGGAGAGGAGCTCTGAGCTTCATGCTCTGTTTAGCAAGGACCTCCTTTCTCCCTTCATTTGTGCTTTACTAACCCTCCCTCCACCTGCGGTGGACTTAGCACATGTATTTTCCTTGGTGATCTAAATGCAGACTCCTTTTCCCCAAGTGATCACATACTAGTATATTTGCTGTTTGCTCTCCAGAGAAACACTGCTCTAGTGAGCACCAGGACCTTAGTAGCCTGGAGGCAAAACTATTTAAGATATTTTAAAACAAATTGTCAAATGATCTTAAGTGGAAGAGAAGGAAAAAAAAAAACGGTGAACACCATCCTTGAGCTTTTATAAAACTAAAGATAAAGGACTGGAAGTATATAAGCAGGTTAGGAATCTGGAGCCAGAGAAGGCCATGATCATTGATCTTTAAGAGGCAACTCTGTGTTCTTAGTGATAAGGTGGTTTGAGTGGGGAACCCAGTTATTCACTTCAGTGGTTCACAAACTGTGTCCATACCATGAACACGCCGTACCTTCCAACCGGTTCTGGGTGTGTGCTCAGATTTGGACACACACTTAGTACAGAGTCCACAATAGCCACACCTCCCACCCCACCCTGCCGAGAATCTTTATACGTGTACTTTTTTCACTTTTCAGGTACAAAATCATGATTAAATGTAAACTGCACATGTGTCTTTGGGCTCCCTTCACTCCCCATTCGATGCATCCTTTTCAATGATGCATACCCCACAAATTGCTCCAGGACCCATCCCTTGATGACCAGTGATTCTGTCGAGTTCTGCTGGCCTTTAATACAGCAAAGCTAATTCCGTTGCATTCATAAGCTTGTGAGGCCCTCCTCGGCACTCTTGAAATTCACACAAAATATTTTTTTTTCTGGGTCTCAGCACTTCATGTGTGAGGCTGTCCTGAGCTCTATGTAAACAAATACAAGGGAGAGCATGGTCCTTGCCCTCAAGGAATTTATAATCTAGTCTTCTTGCCAAACAACTTTTGAAATATTCCATGCTACCAGTAAATGAATCCAGTAAATTTGGGGTAAAAAAAAATAGTCTTCTAACATCCTCCAAAACCCCATCTCTCCATTTGCAGTGGTGATGGTGGCAGGGCGGGGGTGTGGTTATTGATTGCTCCAATTTCAGAAAAATACAATCTACATAGCATTGTTTATATTCTATGCTCTCTCTTCTCCATTTAGACCACATTGGTTCAGAGAGGAGTCAGTCCAAGGAAAATAACGGTAATTTTTTCATGTATAGCAGTACCCTCTCCTTTCTTCTTCCCACCTTCCCAGTCTGAGATCAACCTGCTCCCATGGTGGGTGGGAAGAGTGAAGAAAAAGCAAGTAACACAAGTGTCAGGGGAAAGCAGGATGATGACTCTTCTCTTAAATATATAGGGAAGACCTCGCGGAATTAATTTATGCCCTTTATTAACCACTGCTGAAATAAGCAACTACCTTAAGGACAAAGTCCAGTCCCCCGAAGATGGTTGTTAGCTTGCAGCTGTTTGCTGGGTTCTATTACGTTATTATTTTTGGTTATAAAAGTTATACACGCTCATTATAAAGAAACACACTTGAAAATACAGCTGACAAAAATTCACGTGTGATTCCGCCATCTGGAGATAGCCAATTTAGCTCTTCTGTGAAAAATTTTCACTTTCGAATGTATGTACATGAAAATGCGTGTGTCTAAATAAATTTGCATCATAGTGTATATCCAGTTTACCCTGCTTTTTTAAACTCAACTTTATAGAGAATATTTTCCCATGGCATTAAACACTCTTTAAACTATTTACGGCAACCGTGTCATATCATTCCTTTGTCCCTCCTTCACTTCTTGATGTGGACCAGGGGTTGGTGCCAGGAGGTGGCAGGTCATGACCTTGGGCTCCTGGAGCAAACATTTACTTAAGAAAAACAACCTGATGTTTATCATTTCTTTTAACTAAACAAACGCTCAGCCAACATAAGATGTAGAATGAAAGTTGAGGACATTTGGGCTTAGACTGTCAGTGGCATGGAATATCAACACGTAACAAGTGAACCAAAGGGCAAGCCTCTTGCAAAAAGCCACCACGAGTTTACCAGAACATACCCCATCCATTCAAAGTCCAAGGGCATGTGTACACTTAGATTTCAGCACTTAGCCAGCAGCAAACATACTAATGTAAGGTAATAGTCTTCCTGCCTTTAATTGTGCTTGAGGGTCACTTTGACACATTATTTAGCTTTTTTCAAGTCCCTATTATTGTTCGCAATGTAAGCAAAAGTCAAGTTACTTAACTACTGGGTATCTGACGTGTGTCACCATTTCGAAGGCTTAGATGATAAGGCTCTTCTGCCCACTTCATCTAGAATTCCCCGGCTCTCAGACCTCTGTGGATAGTCCCTCAAATTCACTTGAACAACAGAAATTATGACTTCTTATGATTTTCTCTCCTGTGTGTCTGTGTCACAAATTTCCCTCTGCCTTTCTTTTATAAGGACACTTGTCATTGGATTTAGGGCTGAAGTCCAGGAATGTCACATCTCAAGATCCTTGACTTAATTGCATCTGCAAAGGCTCTTTCTTTTTTTTTTTTTTTTCAAGTAAGTTTGCGTTTACAGGTTTCAGGAGTTAGGACATGGGCATAGCTTTTTTAGGAACCACTACACAACCCACCCCAACTGTATTCTACAATATCAGAGCAGAAGACTTGAATAAATAAAACCAGCAGACTTAGACTCCCATGGCGTGTGTGGCATTACCTGTAATGGAATTTGACTTCTATTGCTTTGACTTAAGCTTTTGTGCCAACCAAGTGATGCACTACTTGCAAAAATATTTGTGGCAGGGAAATTTTCCTACAAATCGCCTCCATTTCGAATTTCTGTCTATACTGGGAAAATTTCAGAAAATGCCGCACTAATTTTTTCTAAAGCCCTCACATGGATTCCAGATGTTGACCATTTAATGCAAGAAGGTGTTTCCTTATTATACAAATGTGGTGCACATCAAAAAATTGGCATTGTTTAATTTATGACTCACACGTGAACCATTGTTTTTTGTGATGTTGTTATTTTAAGTGATTCATAAACTAAACAATGCCAATATTTTGGACACGTACCATATTTGTATAATGAGGAAACACCTTCTTGCATTAAATGGTCAACATCTGGGACCCATGTGGGAAGTTCTTTGAAATTTTAAAGAAAGACAAATTAGCATAGTGTACATTTTCTCAGAGATGCAGCTAGCCGGTAATCAAAAAACAGAGTGAACTTGGTACTATATTGTGGTTAAGAAACTAGGGATTGTTTTTGACAGAAGCATCCAATAATGTTTTTACAGCATTATTTTGAGAATGGGGTAGATGGAGGTGTGGAGGGAAATACAATATGGGCAGTGTTGAGTTAAGGATGAAAAATCAACTCAAGTGTACTCTCTTAGGTACGAGTGTAAAGAACAAAAGCCTTTCTGGAGGGTGGGAGGAAAGCCAAGGGGATGGGTGTCCTAGAAGCTAATGAAGAAACTGAATAAATTCTCTCCTTCTTTATTCAGTTTGAAATACATATGCATGTTACATCAACTGGATCAATGCTGACAATAGCATAGTTAGATGCGATCTTGGAAAGGACCACTGGATATGGCAGTGAGATGTTAACAAGAGCAGCTGCAGTGGAGTGATGGCTATGAAAGCGGACTAGAGTGGATTTGAGAGGATCAGAGGAGAGGTGTTGGGAGAGAGCAGTTACCAGCAAACGGGAGCCAAGAAAGGGGCAGTATTCTCAGGGGGAGATGGGGTCATTGCTAATAGGAATGATCCAGCAGAATGAAACAGGAGAGAAAGGAAGACTGTTGGAGAAAGGAAGCGAGAGGGAATAGGAGTCTAAAGCACAAGAGCAGGGAAGGGGAGGGTTTAGCTCAGCAGTAGAGCATGTGCTTAGCATGCACAAGGTCCTGAGTTCAATCCCCAGAACCTCCATTAAAAGATAAATTAAACCTGATTACCTCCCAACCTCAATTTTTTTTTTTAATTAAAAGAAAAAAACCACCCAAGGGCAGGCACCGGCTTTACATAGGAGCACAAATACTTCATCTGTAGCAAACAGAGAAGATAGAATAAGGGTGCGGATACTGGTAAGTGTACAGTAGAGGGAGAAATTCTTACTGCTTAAAATTTCTTGGAGTAGTAGCCAAGGAATCAGCTGAGAGACAGGATAGGAAGGAGACAGTGGAGATTTATGTGGAGAACTCGGTGTGAAATATCTTATTGGACAGTAGATTACATGACAAGGTTTGAAATACACATGTATGTTACATCAGGCTGGTAGTCATATTGCCAAATCTTTATATACTTAATAATTTCGGGTTTGTTTGATTCAATTACTGAGAATGTTATGATTAAAATCTCATTGTAATAGAGGACATGTCAGGTTGCTCATGCCGGTCTGTTGAATTTTGCTTCACAGATTTTGAAGTTATTTTATTCGTACGTATAAGTTTAGATTTACATTCTCAGTGAATCAAACCGTCTGTCCTGTCGCAAACCTCTTTACCTTTGGCAATGCTATTGTGCTTGGAGTTTCTTTTGTTCTATTAGCTTTCCTGTGGGTGATATTCCACACTTGTCATTTTAGCCTTTTATATCCTGGTGTTTCAGGGTGTCTCCTGAAACAGCATGTAGCTGAATTTTGTTTGGTTTAATACAATCTGTGTGGAGTAGGCAAGAGAGTTGTGTGTGTGGGTGGCGGGCGAGGGGTGCTAGAGAGATTGTATTCCACTTCAGAACTAAATTTGGAAAAGAACATCAAAACAGTGGGTGCTGGTAGCCTTTTAAAAAAAATTGAGGGGAAGGTAGGTTATTGGTTGATTTTTATTCATTTACTTATTTTAAAACAGAGGTACTGGGGATTGAACCCAGGACATCGTGTGTGCTAAGCATGCACCCGACCACTGAGCTATACACCCTCCCCTGCTGGTAACTCCTTAAAGAGATGAGGAAAGCAGGCTAAAATTCATGCACTTGTTGGCAAATGGACAGCAGAACATGAGAATTATTCTGTACCCCACAAGGATTCCAGTCGAGGTGATAAGGATACTTTGGATGTTATACGCCTGCAGGGACACCTGTGACCTGCACATGGGGCCAAATCTATGTGGCGCAGAGAGAGACTCCACTGCCAACTAGCCCAAGTTAATGGTGTGGACTGGGTTCACTGGGTTCTGTTCTCTCTGCTGTGAACCTCAGAGGCAACACGTTTACAGGAAGCAGGCAGAAAATCAGAACTTTGGGAGGAAGTGACTCCAGAACTTCCTTGTACTATAATTCTTTTAATTAAGGATAAACTCGAATAGATGCCATGAATTTCACAATTTGGTTATCCAATCTTTAACCAAATATGTATTGATTGCCCGAGTCAGGCACTGGGTTCTGTGGTGGGGAGTCAAAATCAGGTGAGCAGTGCACCTCAACAAACCTAGGAGGTTTATGACTTTTTAAGCATCATCCTTGGACTTTCTGCAGACATCCAGCAATTGGGAGACCTTAGTCAAAGGTTTCTGGGAAAAATTAATCTGTAGGTGATGGTAATTCACAGGGGAAAGAATAGTCATGGGGGAGCCCATCACTCTGCCTGCCACAAGAGTAATAAATAGCAATGGTTTCATTTTGGGGAGAATCATACTTAAGACCGGAATGCTTATCTCTGGGGCCCACGGGGGAAGTGACTGGGACTCTTGTTCTGCACGCTAAAGCATGGCTCTTAACATGTCTGGGAATATGCTAAGAGCAGCGGACCCTTTAAATCAGTGGTTCTCCAGGGACATTGACATTGTAATGTCTGGAGGCATTTTTGATTGTCATGATTGGGGCTGTGCTGGTGGCGTCTTGTGGGTAGAGGTTAGGAATAAGGCTAAAGAGCCTGCAGTGCATAGGACAGCTCTCACAACAAAGAATTATCTGTCCCAAAATGTCAGTAATGCCATGACTGAGAAATTCCACCCTAGAAAAAGATAAGTCTGCATAGACACACAGAACATTGAGCAGAATTCAAATAAAGACATGTCTGCATCTATACACAGAATTTTGAACACAGTTTCAGGGATTTCAGGGACTTCCTGAAGTCTATCATTCGACCAACTCTGAGTTAACCGATCTCAGGTCACATCCTGGTTCTGGAAGTTTCTGTGTAGTCCCGTATCAGGAAGAAAGATAAACTTCTCTGAGCTTTGTTTCAAACAAGTGAATTAAATTTTAGAACAGCATCAAAAATGTGTTTAAAGGTTTACATTCTTTGAAATAAAGTACACATTTTAACAAAAACTTTCCACTGTATTTTCAGATCATTGTATATTTTAAGCCAAACATGATACAGGTGTTTTTGATTCCTATATTAATACATCAAGATGTTTTGTGTGGGACATTTAATGTTAGCAAAGTTGTGTGAGCTTCCTTTTTAGTAAGTCTCTAAAGGGTCATTTAATTTTTTAAAAGTAGGAGGTCATGTTTTTCCATTAGAAAATTCACAACATGGGTTCAAATCATGTTCGAGCACACAGTCGCAGTAGGATTTGGAAAAAGCAAATCATCTCTTCTTCTTTTTTTTTTTTTTTAATCATGCTTATCCTACGTGCAAGTGCTTGGGGAATGACTTCAGTGATGGCTAAATGGATCTTTGTTCTATTATATTGCCAATGAAGTTGAGGCTTTTAGTCTCTTTGTAACTGTTGCCTCATTAAAACAGCTAAAAATGGCAGGAAATGGCGTCAAGTTCTTTGGTGAACAAGTGTGCTAATAACTTTCATAAAAATCTCACTCTTTGGAAT